TCCAACTCGTCTCCACTCACTCGCTCCTACTTTTTCCAACCATTATTGCTTCCAATCAAATTATTCTCTTCTAATTCTCTTTTTTCCTTTTCAAACATTAAATATTAGGAATATAGAAAGTAAAGATACCATAATTTGATGGGTTATCCTCGGATTTAACGACTCTTTATCAACTCTATCTTTTATCTTCAATGCATATCTCTTTGGTGTATTAGATGCATCGTCCTTTTTTATCGTCTATCTTGACATTACTTGAGAGTCTCGTTTTACTTATCACTATGGGAAGGGAACGAAACATTCTTTATAAAAGTGTGAAAATCTTTTCTAGTGGACGAAATTAAAAACCTTGAGAGAGGTGACACGTGGCTCGGAGGCCCTCTCAACCTAAGGAGACGATGAAATGATAACAGTTGTAATATATGGCATAGGGCAGTGGCATGTGTGGGCAAAGGAAGTGTCAGAGGGAAGGGGGAGATATGGATTTTCGGGGATTTTGAGGCCTAAACCAAACCCCACTCAATCTCGATTTCATGGGTCGACGTAATAATCTATGAGGAGGCCGAGGCCAAGGGCGAGGCTGCGGCGGAGGCTGAGGCCTCATCTCATTCATTACTATTTTAAACATGTGTTTGCTTATTCGTGGTTGGTGTCTCTGTCCTGCTGCTTTATGGGTTGTTGTTGGATTGTGTGTTTTACATTAAAAGCTCCAATCTTTTTACCCTATTGCTAGCATGTATAAGGACCACAAAATTAATACTCCTTTTAAAATACATTAAGAATTCGATATCATTAGGAAAAGAACGAGTATTATATTCTTCTTGAATATTGTAGACATAAGTATGAAAAGTTGAAACGAGCACGTAAAGTACTTTAAGAAACCCAATAACCTAACTCTTAACGGAAATTCTTTTAGTTATTTTGTATTTGATTTTGGTTGGTCATGGAAGAGGAAAGATTTGAATCTCAACACCGTTGTAGTATGTGTGCAGGTGTTTTAATTAGTCGGTTGAACTATAATCTCCACATTCGTCTCTTATTTGAGTTTGTTCTATAGGTTATAAAGACAAGTTCATAAATTTGAAAGGGTTGCACATGAGATGGTGAAATAAAAAGAGAGGTGGCAAGTACTTTGTATTAGGTTAATCGAGCATTTGAGCTCTTTGTATTTGTTGTGTTCATACACATATAGTGTAACAATCTAACCACACCCTTAATAGATATTATCTGTTTTAGCCCGTTACGTGTTACCGTCAGCTTTATGGGTTTAAAACCCTACCCCTTATAAAGAGTGTTTCGTTCTCCTCTCTAACCAATGTAGAATCTCATAATCTACCCCCTTGGGGCTTAGCGTCCTCGCTGGTATACTGTCTGGTGTCTGGCTCTGATACCATTTGTAACATAACAAATGTTTTGTTCCCCTTTCCAATCGATATGGGATCTCACAATCCACCTCCCTTGAGCGCCTAGCGTCCTCATTGGCACACTGCTCGGTGTCTGAATCTGATATCATTATAACAGAAGGAACATTTTGTTCCTCTCTCCAACCGATGTGGGATCTCACAATCCATCTCCCTCGAGGGCCTAATGTCCTCGCTGGCACACCGCTCGGTGTTTGAATCTGATATCATTTATAACACAAGGAACGTTTTGTTCCTCTCTCTAACCGATGTGGGATCTCACAATCCATCTCTCTTGAGAGACTAATGTCTTCGCTGGCACACCGTTCGGTGTCTGACTCTGATATCATTTATAACACAATGAACGTTTTGTTCCCCTCTTCAACCGATGTGGGATCTCACAATCCATCTCCTTTGAGGGCCTAACATTCTCTCCGGCACTCCGCTCGGTGTCTGACTCTGATATCATTTATAACACAAGGAACGTTTTGTTCCACTCTCCAACCAATATGAGATCTCACAATCTACCTCCCTTGAGGGCCTAATTACCTCACTAGCCTAACACCTAGTATTTGACTTTGATACATTTGTAACAGTCCAAGCACGACTCTAGCAGATGTTATCCACTTAAACCCGTCATGTATCACCGTCAGCTCCATTGTTTTTAAACGGTCTATTAGCGAGTGGCTTTTAACCTTCTATTTCTGGCTCTCTAAACACTATTTCTCTCTCCTCTACCCTCTGCTCTTGAATGCTTTAAACCAGACCGAGAATGACATCCTTACTGATACCTATATTTTAGGTAGCATGTGATTCCGTATGTATGAATTTATCAAGTCTTAAGCAGGAAGTTCCTTCTAGGCAATCTACTTTATTGGATTTAATGGAATCTGTCAGTGAATGAACTGGAAAGAACAACCCAATCCATTCATTCATTCATTCATTCATTCATTCACTCACCACTCTCTCTCACTTTCCTTTTCATTTCATTTCACTTCCTTTCCCCCCTTTTCCTTCTCTTTTTTCTCGGGAACTTCCAACCTCCAATCTTCTAGGAACCCCAAAATCAAACCGCTAACAAAGTAAATGTTTTCATGGGTATGAATGGGATCTTGTAGCCTCAAAGTTCAGTGATTTTTATTCAATTTTTTTGCAGGGGAGCTTCAGAAAATGGCGCCATCAACTTCAGGATCATCAAAGAGAGCCAGGGGAGCTCACAGTGGCGCCATACAGCCAGTTTCTTGCCTTGTCGATGGCTGCAATTCAGATCTAAGCAACTGTAGAGACTACCACAGGCGCCATAAGGTCTGTGAGCTGCATTCCAAGACTCCTCAGGTCACAATCGCTGGCCTCAACCAGAGATTTTGCCAGCAGTGTAGTAGGTAACTTTCGGACACTGGTTTTTCTTTTTTTTTTTTTCTCTTTTTGGTCTTTCTTTTTTCCTTTTTTCTTTCTAATCATGGTATGTTTCTGTTCTCTGTCACCAACTTTTGAGCACTACCCATTATTTTATTCTTCAAGAACTGTTGATGTTTTATGTCAAGAAATCTGTCCTCTTTCTGGGGTCTAAGCGTTTTTCCAGAACGCTTGGCGCTGGATTTAGTTGCGCTTTCGAGTCTTTTCATGAAAAAATTCTCTGTTCACGAATGTTCCAAAACTTGCAGAAGCTTTTTCCCAATTTAGATCTCATTTCAGTGACAAAATTCTGCAGCCATTAATGAATTCCCATCTGCTCTGTTCTTCTCTGCTCTATTCTGCTCTGTTTCTCCGTTTTTCCAGAACGCTTGGCGCTGGATTTAGTTGCGCTTTCGAGTCTTTTCATGAGAAAATTCTCAGTTAATTAAAGTTCCAAAACTTTCAGAAGCTTTTTCCCATTTTAATGTTCATTTCAGTGACCAAATTCTGTAGCCATTAATGAATTCCCATCTGCTCTGTTCTGTTCTGTTCTGCTCTGCTCTGTTTTCCCCCCCATAGGTTTCATTCACTCGAGGAATTTGACGAAGGAAAGAGAAGCTGCCGGAAACGACTGGACGGCCACAACCGGCGGCGGAGAAAGCCTCAAACTGACCTCTTGCCTCGATCTGCTGGCCATTTCTCCTACCATCAAGGTTAGAATTTTGGTTGTTTTTTAATGGAAAAATCTCAATTACTGAAGTAATATGCACTTCTTCCAGGTGCCCATTTGTTGCCATTTACAAGCTCGCAAGTTTTTCCACCGACCACTTTGAGCAGCCACGGGTGGTCGTCTGCAGGAGATCCCTCCGTCTTCCACAACCAGAACCATGAACTCAATTTTCTCGAAAAACAGAGGCTTTTTGTGGAACCATCCAGCTACAAAGCGGCGCAACCACTGGGGTTCTTGCATGGCGGGCCGACAACATGCCGACCACTTCTCCGGAGTATCAATACCCTGTCGGAAAATAGCGGCGGCGAAAGGAACAAGATGGTTTACTACAAATTCAGAGTTGGAGTTAGTGAATCAGATTGTGCTCTCTCTCTTCTGTCATCGTCACAGCAGGCCGCCGAGAGTGGTTCTTCTGGGCATTTGGGTTTGAGCAGAATCGAACAAGAACAGCAACAGCGTAGCGCCGCCATTTCTCTGCTGCAGCCATTGAGCCACCACCACCATAAACTCGACAGTTTTGAGACTTCTGAGTCTTCTTCGGTTCATGGGGCTGTTAATTTCCCCGAGATCTTTGGAATTCCCTCCGAGAATGCTGGAAATCAATCCCCTTCCACTCTTCCTTTTCACTGGGAGTAGAAACCAAAGGAAACAAATCCCTAACTATGTCTGCCTGTCAGTGTTCTAATATTAATAAACATGAAGAACTCTCTCCTGCGTTTGTTTCTTCCTGTTCTTTTGTTTTTAACGAGTTTGCTTGCGCTACCATCTCTCCAAGAAGTCACTCAATGTCGAGACGGTATGAGTTTCGAACTTTTGATATCACACGTGCATTCTTCTTTAAGTTATTATTGTGTAACGAACCAGGTCCACCCGCTATCAAATATTATCCTATTTGGAGTTTCGCTTTCAGGCTTTAAAACATGTATTTAAAAGGGTGTTTTGTTTTCCTTTCCAACTAACATGGGATATCATATATTGGATTAACGTTAAAACGCTATACGAACATCTATATAGTATGGAATTTTATGAATAACTAGGTTTGTTATCCTTTTTAGTTGAAGAATTACGTTAGAAACTCGAACTATGAATTTGCTAAGCTATGTGTGAATTTGCAAACGATTTTTGTTTGGATAAAAGTAAATTATTTTGGTGGGTGCGTTGCATAATGATGTAACAGCTCAAGCCTACTGCTCACAGATATTATTTTATATATTTTTTTTTTTACTCTTACTCTTCGAGAAGAAATATGGGGTAGGGGTCAAAATGGCAAATTTCAGTTCCATAGGGAAAGAAAAAGTTTAAGAGGCAGTGGTAAGAAATAAGAAAAAGGAAAAAGTTAAGGGGGCAATCTGCAAAAAAATAAAAAAACGCCAAAACACATTCAATTCAAACAGAATCCAAAGGATACTCGAACACCAAATCCGCATTTAAGGATGCGCTGCCTACGCGTTTAAAATCCCCTGTTTTAAGCTACACCTTACAAAACCTACGCTGACGTGAGAATCTGTATATAATTAAATCAAATGGAACTCTAACTGTGACGGCCGCCGGAGCACCCGGATTTTCTCCGATGAACGACGACATTCTTCACAACATCTTCCGCAGGCTTCCGGCTCGATCCTTCGCAGCGGCGGCCTGCGTTTCCAAAACATGGAACTCTACTTGCAATCGGATCCTCCGTCGCCCGAAATTCGCCTCCGCCGTGTCCTTGAATCCCTCTCTTCACGTTTGCCTCGTTACTCTTGGAATTCCTCCGTCGATTTGGTGGTTCCGATGAAGGGATTGATGGATTTCTGTGTTGCAGGTGGCGGTGGAGGAGGTTGTTCATAAGGTTCTGTCGGAGCCGATTCGGCCGCAGTTCGCCATTGCCTGTATCGGCGTGGAATTCAGCTTGGAAGTGGTTCACCATCTTGTATTTCTCTCCTACCCTTTTAATTTCTTTATAAAATTCGTTCATTTCAGGGTGTAATTAATTACGGGTCGGACTCAGATTACAGAGGCGCTGGGATCATGAACTCTGGTGATAACAAATGCAGCCAGAGGCATCATCGGCGTAGACGCGTTAACCGATGAAATCAAGGAGGTTTGTTCATAGTAATTTAAAAGAGTTTTAGATTAATTTGAATAATTTTAGGAAAAAATTACAGGTGAAATGGGAATTAGCGGGTGATTATGATATTGAAACTCAAGATTACAACTCGATCTTCAATCGAAACAGAGGAATCGTTTTGGCCGTTGGATTTCTGCCCGGATTTAAAGTTGATGCAATCTCACTCCTCCGTTCAATTAGGGTCAGTGGCTGCGATATTAAAGGCTAATTCAGTGTGTAAATACTAAAAATCCTAAGTTTCAGGTGACTGAAGAAGCTATGGCGGATAAGTTCGTAACGGATATAAGGGACCATACGGCCTCTGTTTCTGACTTCACCTCTCCTTACTGCATTATACTGTTTGGAGTAAGTTACACACTTTTCATACGGCCTATATTGTCCTATTTAAATTTAATCTTTCGAACGTCCTCCAAATATTTTAAAATGTATATGTTACGGAGAAATTTTCACATCCTCAAGAAACATTTTCCTCTCAATCCACCCCTTGAGACCATCCTTACCGATTGTTTCCCTCCCCAACTAACATGAATCTCACAATCCATCATCTTAGGGGCTAGTGTCCTTTCTCGCACAGTACCCAAATATATGGCTTTGATATCATTTGTAATCGTCTAAGTATACCACTAGATGTTGTCCTCGTTAGCTTTTCCTTTCAAATTTCTCCTGAAGGTTTTTTAAATGTTCTTACTTATTTTCCACACATGGTAAATAATGTTTTATTACTGTCTTTAACTAGTGTGAAATCTCACAATCTTGAGGCAATATCTTACCTGTCACAAATATCATTTATAACAGTCTCACACCCAACCGATATGGTTCTTTTTCGGTCCAATCTCCCTCAAAATTTTAAAACCTATATGTTAGAAAAGAGGTTTCGTTAACTTCTTCAAATCCCTTACATGATTGGGCTGCTCATAACGCTGCAGGATCAACACGAGGACATGAAACCCATCATCGCAAAGCTAGGTAAGTTGACCACCGATCAATTCGCCGTTTACCCATTACTCAAAATAGCCTAATCGGTACATCAACATATTCCAGATTCAGCTATGGCCGAAGAAACAGTGATTGTGGGCGATGCCTGTGGCTGCTTCTTGAGTAAAAGTAGAAGAACAAGCAACGAAATTCATGGGTTTTCACTTGGTGCTGTAGCTTTAGTAATTGCAAGGGACAAGAACAACCCAGAATGTGTAGGAGAAACCATTTTCCATTTCACATCATCCACTGGAACAATCCCTTTTGGTCTTGAATTGAAAGCCGTTTCCACCAGCGTCAGAGGCTCCAAATTCACATGGCTCTCTGCTTTCATGGAAGGAGACAACGAAATCCTTCATGGACAGAGCATTCTAAAGGATCTTCAAGAAGAGGTCCGACAGCGATTTCTCTTGTTTCTGTAACTTTCATAATCTCTAACTTAGCAATTTGCAGATCGAATACGACGATTTGGAAACCGATATGTTCATCGGAGTAACGCAAAATCGAAAACAGAGCATCGGTTCACAAAGCTTGGGGCCCTCAAAATCCTTGGATATGTATAAAGTTTTAGGGTACCCTTTTCTCCTCTCTAATCCTACACCACGAATATTATTACATAAACACTTGAAATTTTTGGTGAATGATCGGCGGCGATTACGAACAGGGGAGACCAGCAGTATTTTGTGGTGGACGGCGTCGGAATCCGGCCAGGCGATTCCATCTTATTCTACCATTCTGATTCAGAAACTGCGTCCTCTTCATCCAACATTGCATTTGAAGATCTTACAACTCTAAACCCACCACCCAAAACCAATGCCCCCGCAAGCTCTGTGTTTGCCGCCGGTAAAAGTGCAGTTTTTGGATGCCTTATATTCTCCTGCCATTCTCGAGGACAGGCGTATTTTGGACGTCCCAATGTTAATTCGTCGCCGTTTAGTTTGAATTTCCCCGGTGTCCCGTTTTCCGGGATGTTTTGTGCCGGGGAAATTGGTCGGGCCGTTTCGAGGTCGATTCGGGACGAGGAAGAGGTAGATGAGGATGATTCTGTTCGCCGTTTTCTGCATGTTTATAGCACTGTTTATTTGGTTCTGTCTCATATTAATGGCGGAGGAGAAGGTAGAAGATGAAGATGGTGATGAATATTAAAAATAAGAAAGAATATTATGGGATTTGTGTCTTCATCTTTGTATATCTTATTCTTATTATATATATTCCTATATATATAATTTTAACATTACTTACATTACTTAATATAATGTATCATTAAATTGAATATGCAATTTCCAAAATTGTCACACATTTTTTTTACGAATAAGAGGTGAAAATATGAAAAGCGTCCATTGTCTAATGGATAGGACAGAGGTCTTCTAAACCTTTAGTATAGGTTCAAATCCTATTAAAGTTATATATATATATATATATGGACCCGTAAAGACCCATCTAAGATGAGAGAATGTGAAAGGGATTTGGAACGAGAATGCAACCATGACATCAGTCTTGGATAAGAATGATCGAGACATCTAACATGTAGCAATAGATAACACGCCTTAGACAAGTATGACTGTGACACTTGTCACACGAGCTCTAATACATAAACCAAACCATAATATAAATCACGAGTTGAGTTTCAAAGCTCACATCCTTACTCATTTTAAATCTAGATAGCGTCTAGCTCATTCTACCTATAACGTTGTTTCTCTTTTGATTTTAATTAGGTTATTTCGTATAATATATAGTATATTAAATTTTTTGTTTAAAGAGTTTAAAGTTTATATAAAATGGGAAGAAGCAAACTGAATAATTTGTTTGCTTTATGACGTCACAAATAGTGTTGGATTTGGCAGAAAATCAATAGAAAATTACATAAGTTTTTGGAAACACAAAGCTTGAATGAAGACCATCAATACCAAAATTAAGCTTGAAGACCATATTGCTTAATTTTGTAACCCATTCACCTGAAATGCCCTGCATGTAAAGTTCCTATATTAATTTATAAGCTATGATTATAATATTCTCCTCCTTAATCTTTTATTAAAAATTTTAAAATTATTTAATATATTAATATTTAAAATGTCACTTTAGTCTCTATAACCTATGTTTCATTCCATTTTAATCCATATTCTTTCAAATATATAAATTAAGTTAATATTTTAAGAAAATAGCGAAATTAAAAGAAATTAATACAGTAAAAATAGAATCAAGATTATTAAAAGATTATGCACATACATTTCGAATGCAGAGAAGGCATTAGCATCTGAGATTCTTGAGGTTGTGACAGCCACATCCTTGAGCTGATTCAACTGACATTAACAACAACAAACAGACATTGATTTAATCGACAAGAACACAGAATCTGGGAACTGTGTTTTTTTTTTCTTTGTTCTTACTCTTTTCTGAAGACGGCTGTGCTCCTCTTGCAGGCCTTTGTACTGCCATTGTAGTTAAATTTAAACCAAAACCCAGCAGTTAATTCTCGTATTATACGTTGGTTTGAAATGGGTTGGAAGTTTAAGGATTTAGAAATGGCTGTTTACCTTCCTTTTCAACTGGTTTACATGCTCTGATGTGATGCGTCTCTGTCGTTCATGCCCAAAATGAATGAACAAAACAATACATAAATAGTCATGGCCAAAGCATAGCTTACCAAAAACCTAAATTCTCTAACCCTAATCGTTCATGCCCAACTAAGTTGATAATTAACGACGACTCGATTTTGAAGGGAAAAATATAACATCCCGAACTCACAGCTAGCTGCCGATATTGTTCTTTTTTGGCTTTCTCTTTCAAGTTTCCGTTGAAAGTTTTAAAACTAGAGATAGATTTCCACACTCTTATAAGAAATGTTTCGTTCCCCTCTCCAACTGATGTGAGATCTCACAATACACTCGTCTTGCGAGTCCAGCATCCTCGCTGACACACTATCTGGTGTCTGACTTTAATATCATCTGTAACATCTTAAACCCACTCCTAATAGATATTGTCTTCTTTGGTTTTTTCTTCGGGCTAGTTTTTAAAATGCATTTATTAAGAAAAGGTTTCTTCACTGTTAGAAGGAATGTTTCGTTCCCCTCTCCAACCGACGTGAGATCTCACAATACACCCGTCTTGGGAGTCCAGCATCCTTGCTGACACACTATCCGGTGTCCCATCTGTAACATCTCAAACCCACTCCAACCAGATATTGTCCTCTTCGGGTTTTCCCTTTCAGACTTGTTTTTAAAATGCATCGATTAGGAAAAAGTTTCTACACCGTTAGAAGAAATGTTTTCTCATCTTCAACCAACGTGAGATCTCAAAACAAAAAAAAAACGAACCTGTTTTATTGAACATGAATTTATATATAGTTCATATGAGAAGATTCGAACTTTTAAGTGTTTATTTCAAGATATCATAGAGTTACACTTGGGTCGAGTTCAAATTGCGAAAGGCTTTACCTTCTTAGAGCGAACACGTTCAATTCCGATGCTCATTTGTCTTTCCAACTGTTTTAACTCCTTCAAGCTCAAGGGTCCAAGATCCTCTCCAGCAAAGTTCCTAATATAGTAAAATTCAATTAATTTCAACATTAAATCATTATAAACCACACTTAAACATACCTTAATCTTGCATCCAAGCTGATTATTGATCGTTTCATATCCTCCATCTCACTCTTCCAAAGCTACAAATCAAAATCATACCAACACCCACAAATTCTTAATTATATATATATGCAAAGCCCTAATCCTCAAACGCCCAAATCAAAAAAGGAACAAATAAAAACAGAGAATCCAATTTCACAACACCCCATTAATTCAATAACTAAATACCAGAGCTCGTGAATGTGGATGGTTCGATTGCGGTAGCCCCACGTCGCTCCTATACCTGGCTAGGGTTCCATCCATGCTGCGCCCAATCAAACCAAACCCAATAATTTCAGCATAAACAAGTCTTAAAAACACGACCCATCAAGCAAATAACAAAAACCCATAATCACTGAGCTCAAAGCTCGAACCTTTTCTCAACTTTACACCACTAAATCCTTCCATTTCAAAAACCCAGAAATTTAATCGTTTAAATCTAAGGAAAAACATCAAGGAAAAGGAGGTACGAACTCGTGGCTGGAAAACTGGTAGGCCTTGCCGGACGGGGAGAAGATGAGGAGGGCAACCTCGGCATCGCACAGAACAGACAGCTCGTAAGCTTTCTTCAAAAGCCCATTCCGACGCTTGGAGAACGTAACTTGCCGACTTGTCGGATTTTCGATTCGTTTCAGCTGAACTTTGCCTCGTCCCATGTTTTTGTTTTTTTTTTTTTTTACTTTTTTTTTTTTTTTTTTTTTTTTTTTTTTTTTTTTTTTTTTTTTTTTTTTTTTTTTTTTTTTTTTTTTTTTTTT